TTTAAGGAGCCACGAATTGAAATAAAGCATTCAGTTTTCCAGCCAAGAAAAGAGTGAGGAGAGTTCGGGTGGTCTCTTGGACAAATCACCCCAAAGGAGARTTCGGGTGGTCTCTTGGACAAATCACCCATTGGGTTTCCGTAATAGGGTCTGTAAGCAAGGGAAGGCGCAAGGGGAAGCAGGGGGCTTTCGCACCGTGGACCGACCCATGACGGGATCCTACGTGCGGGACCATAACAGATGCACTAAATATAAGGTATTTGAGGATTTGAGCTTTAAAACATATTAATGCATAATTTGACAGGCCTCCTGTCAAATTATCAGAAGAAAATATTAAAAAGTCATAATTTTGTGTATCAAGAGTATTGATATTTTGAACCTTGAGCAGAGGCAGTGGCAAGTCCTCTTTGGTCTTTTTCTCATTCGTTGCAAACTACAACCTAGAGAATAAAAAGATGTGGTAAACCTAATACTCCTGTCCAAGGACCAATATGGAATATTAGTGTTAACAGTTTGACCTTTTCAATCTGGACAGTTGAATCAGTGAACTGTCACCCAGACAAAACTGAGTTGACCTCCGTTTCAGGTTTTACAACACTTTCTGAGACTGGATAAACATCTTAATAGAAATATGGTTGGGGAAGGTGATTCCCATACAATTGTAGACTGGTTAAAAAAGAATAGTATGGTCTCTTGGACATAATGAGGGAGGTCGAGCAGCTAATTGTGAAATTAAGAACAAATTATAAATGGATTCCTAGATCTGCCAACAACAAGGCAGTAGACAGATGGTTTAGCCAGACAAGGAGTAAACAAATTCAGTTGATCAGTTGTACTGAGGACTGACTGCCCAAAGTGGGATTTAAAAGGAAATTAGGAGAGGAGGGGTGCTAGCAGGGGCTAGGCCAAAATTGGGTGTGTTACATTACCTCTTGTACTTCATTCTTTTATGCATGCCCAATAAAATCTTAACCGTTGCAGATCAAAAAATATGGACGGACCACAACGTCCCTTGCAAAATTTACTTTCTTTATAGGTCCACAGGTTATCTGTCTTTTTATTACACCTCTTGTTTTTCTAACTGGCAAAACTAAAAGATGCATTTTTTTTTTCCTTTTTTGCAGGGGGAATTGCTTATGGGTTGGACCGTTTAGTGATGCTGTTGGCAGGAGCCAATTCTATACGAGATGTTATAGCTTTCCCAAAGACTACAACTGCCCAGTGCGCCTTAACTCGGGCCCCCTCAGAGGTTGATCCCCAGCAGCTGAAAGACCTCTCGCTTTCCTAGCCAATGACATCTTCGCTGTTTTTATTTTCCCTCATTTTGTGTATTTATTTATGTACTTGATTAATGTTAGTCTCTTCTATAAAAATAGGTTGAAATCTTCACTGTTAACAATCTCCCAAGTCCTGCCTACTTGTGATGTTTATTTATTATTTTTTTGGTAGATCCTGTAATGTTTTTTTAGAGCTTGGCATATTTGCGGGAGGATGAGTTGATGTAATAATTTCTATATTTGATCAACGAATTTTGATGAAAGATAAGTTAATGTTTTCATGCTGAAGTTGATGATTCTATCCCAAATCGTTGTATTGCAAATTCACGCGTCACGCCTTCACCAGAGTCCAGGGATTTAACTGTATATGAAGATTGTTATGTTATTGCTATTGGAAGTATTTCCCCAGTCGTAAGTTTTTTTTTGCTGCAATTTCCCCAGTCGTAAGTTGATGATAACGTTTTTAATCTGGATTGCCGCGGTGACGCCTTGACGGGACCTGCCCAAAATAGATTAAAAAAAAAAAAAAACCAAAGCAAAGCATATGTTATATCAAATGGATCCGCTCCAATGAACACTCACCAGGCAAATACATACTCTGGCTATCGGCCTGCTGTTGCTTTTCTTTTGACGAGCAACTATGAATGGCTAACGGGCGGGGCTGGGTTGTGCATACCCCATCCCCGACCATGAGCTTAATAATATGGGACTGATTATGATGCGAGAAAAATTTACAATAGGAAACGTGGTTTAAGATAGGGGATCTGAAGGATATCAGGCTCAAAAAACTGATTTATAATAGAAAATTTAATGCTTGACCTTAAGGCTGCCATTTGTTCTTAATCATTTTATCTTTTTTTTTTCCCTTTCATCTCTCTCTCTCTCCTCTTTTTCATACTCTTTACATCAATCAATCAATGTGAATTATGTTTCTTCACTGATTATGGAGGATTTTACACTACATGTTAGAGAATCAACAAACAAATACTCAACCCAACTGATTCTAAAATGATTGGAACAAGGTTCTAAATATCTATACGCCTGATACGCCAGTAGGGGCATATCAATACTTTTTTTAATTTTTTTCAAAACCGGTTTAGGGGGCGGTTTAAGGCTCCTTCACCCCTTGAACCAATCAGAACCCTGATACAATATCAGGGTGCTCCTGAAACAATATGTATCGGACAATACGGGCCGATACGTGTCGATACTTTGAACATTGGATTGGAGCATATAATCTGTCTTAGTGTTTTTCACTTCTTTCTTTTTCAACATTCTGCAAATATTTTTCTATTATTTCCTCTCACTCTTAACTGCCCAAGCTTCTTCATTGCTCTCATTCCTTTCTTTCATTTTTCTTTTTTTTTTCTTTTTTCTTTCACTTTTCTTTATCTATCTTTCTATTCTCTTTTCCTCCTTTTCCTTTTCTATTTTTTTTTGCCCTACAAAATGCACCCCATGAATTTGACTAGTTTGTCAAAGAAAAGGTATCTATGCCTCAGCTCAACTGAGCTAATTAATGGATTTTAAGCCTCATACCACATCCCCAACCATGAGCTTAATATTGTAAAATGAAGTTACCAATCAAGTGGTATTCATCAAAATTTACAAGGTGCTTTGATTGGTTAGAACTCAAAATTAGGGAATGCTTTTATTTAAACCTAAACTGAGCTCTAGCATTGAAGTTATCAATTGACCAACTCTAAAAAATGTGGCCAAGCAAGTTGACGAGTTTGGAATTACCAATTGAAGTTTCTCCTCCATCTTTAGTTAAGAGAGGTGGATCTAGACTTTATCCATTTATAATATTGATACTAGCAGTGTGATGCATGTGATTTATCAAGGGAAAGTGAAAAAATCGAAACTTATAACTAAGGAAAGAATGCATGTTGTTTAAAACAATTAATCTTTATTTCAATAATTCATTACAAAAATGATTTACTAATTTGGATTAATTATATTAATAATTTAAAAAAATAATAAAGCATTGTTAATTACTAAATAAAATAATTATTTTTTCTTATTATTTGTTAGTGTTCTATTTTATTTCTTTTGCTTTATCAATAGTTAAATGTTACAATATTTTGTGAACAATTATGGGGGATGAATGGGTTACCCCCATTGTGTAGCCAATGAACCAAAAATATAAAATATCTCGAGCCAGATTTTGATAGTGCATTAACAGTTTTTAAGCTTGGTCGGCCTAGCCTGGCTCACACCATGGGCGTATAATATTTTTCTGGGCTTAGGACATGGACATGCTTACTTGTGTTAGTTATAAAACTATGATTTTTTACAAATTAAAATTTTTACTTAATTTTAGTCTATTATAAAAATATATAGCATTTCTATCTATATATTAATATAAAGTTTGTTATCTAAATATTATATACCATTCATGCATAAGCTCCAAGGTTGAGTTTAGGGGTTGCTTATCTTGGGCCCTATCCAACTTGATACATGATTCGAATCCAATAATATTAGATTTGGATGTTAGAACTTATATCTGATTAATAATCGGATTGGATAAGGATTTAAGCCTATCTAATCTGATTAAAATTTGCATCGAATAAGGAATTATTATTTTATATATTTAGTATAACTATGTATAAATTTCAAATGTAGATGTGGATCTAGAGATTTCATAGTTAGATGTTGATGCAAATGTAGATGGATCTTATCTAACTTTGATCTGTTTACAGCCATATTGCCTACTTTATGTGTGGGCTTGGTGCAGATTCGAGCTAGACCTAGCTTAGAAGAAAATAGTTGCATGAGTCTAAAAATTTATAGGTTTAGTCAGGTTGGGATAAGTTATCAATGACTTATTTCTTTTTATTATTTATTTTAATTATCTTATCAATACTAACTCTTTTTAATTTCTTAACTTTTAATATTTGCTAGATAAAAACCTGCTAAAATTTAATATTTTTTAGGGATAACTCCCTATTAGTACCTATACTTTGGGCCTAATGCCACTTTGGTCCTCGAACTTTAAAATGCAACAATTCAGTACTCGAACTTTCAAATCGTGTCAATTCAGTACCTATCATTAGCTAGCTGTTAATTATCCGTTAAGTGGCATTTGAAAAAGACACAAATGCCTTTAGAGTGTCATCTAATTTTCTTTATCAACCATCCAAACATTGACAAAAAATTAACAATCCCAAATCCTTGCTTCTTCTATTCAAGAAAGTTGGGGGGCACATCTCAGTGGGCATTCTGGGCCCCAACTTTCTTGAATAAAAGAGTCAATGGTTTAGGATTGTTAATTTTTTAATTGGGAATTTCCCTATTTTTTATTAACTTTAGTAACTTCTTAATTTTTAATATTTTTATTATCTTTAGATTTCAAATTATAATTTTCTAACAATTGACCAATTAAATAAAATTTGAATATCAAAATAAAAATTTGGATGAGTAAAATTCTCTTTCTTTGGAATACAATAGACTAATCATGGAAGGTACATATAGAAATATGCTAAAATAGGTTAATGATGGAAATTGTGGGAACTATGCCTTACAATTCTCTCTTTTTTGTTATTTTTAGGTGATTTAACTATTTTTGATATATTATTAACTAACATTTAAGCTATATTTGTTTATGGGCTAGTTGGGCCCAGGCTTGCCTTAAAGTATTAGGCCTAAATTGGCCCTAAAATTCGTGGGCCGGATGTGGGCCAAGTTAATGGTAGTGAGAAAGGATAGCCATGCTACACAACATGTCTTATTTGATTGACTGGATTCAAATCGAGGTATATCCGAATCTGATCCAATAACACATATGTTAGATCCAATTCGACCAAAACTCACATATGGTGATTCGAATATGAATCAATTAAGGAAAGTCAGATATCCAAAATTGATCCAATCTAAATAGGTTGAGATTAAACAATAAAACATAAAACAACAAATTTTTATTAGTGCTTATTAAGTTTGATTTTTAAGTGAAATTGAAACATTTTGTTCTTAATTAACATTTTAAGGAAACCAAATTTCTTAAGGCTATGTTTGGTTTGAAGGAAAAAAGTAGGGAAAGGAAGGGAAATGTAGGGAAACCTTTACAAACCTTGTATAGGTTTCCCTATGCTTCCCTTCCTTTCCCTACCTTTTCCTTCAAACCAAACATAGCCTAAGTGGAAGCTTAGTGGATTTTAAATTAATGGTTTTTAGAATAATATTCTTTTTTTTGTTGTTTTATGGTTTATTGTTTAACTTCAACCTATTTTTATTATTTGATTTATTAAATTTTAAGGTTTGCTTGGTTTATAGATATGATTGGAATTGTAATTGGAATTGAAATCAAAATTGGAATTCTCGAGAATCGATATCAGAATCACCTATTCTTGATTCTTGTTTGGTTCAGTCGAGAATTGCAATTGGAATTTGATTGTTGTTATTTTGTTCATTTGGAGTTGGAACCAGAACTAGAATCAACTAAAAATGTTTAATTTTATTACATTTTATTTTCTTATTAGTTTATTAATATTCTATTGTTTTTGTTTATTATTTTAAAATAAATTTATAATTATTTAATAATTAATATGTTAGTATTTTATTATTACTTTAATTATATGAATATTAATATTAAAATTTTACTAATAATAGTATTATTGCTTTAATATTATATAATATTATTTGTATATTCAATATTAATATTTATGTTTATTATTATTAATTTATTAATGTTTTATTATTTTTATTAATATTAGGTTTTTTGGGGTTTTTTGTCATGAGTTATTTACTCCTTAAGACTCTAGAATGGAAATCCCATTTCCTAGGGGGGCTAAAATATCCAAACTCCCTCTCTATCTCTACTAATACAATTGCTATCTCTCATTAATACTCTCTCTTAATTGTCTCTCTTTAATAATATAATATTTCTCTCCCATACACACACACACACTCTCTCTCTCTCTCTCTCACTCTTTCTTTAATAATATAATATCTTGATAATGGTGTAAAGCTTTATTGATGATATTATAATAGTGTACAATTTTATTGGGCCTAAGATACCCAAATGTCCCTTTCTCTCTCTAATAATATAATTGCTCAATTTCTAGTTAACATTCTCTCTTAATTGTATCTTTTTAATAATATAATATTTCTCTCTCATTCTCTCCCTCCCTCTCTCTTTAATAATATAATATCTTAATAACAGTGTAAAGCAAGGTTTTCGAACCGCCGTTGACTCAGACAGTCGGATCGTTCGGCCCGGGAACTGTCCATGCAACCAGTTCCATTTTACCCCAAACCCAGTTTTTGGCCAAAAACCATTGAAAAAGTCA